CTTCTAATACTATCATCCTGTGTGTGTGTGTCTGTGTGCACTGTCAGTTTCTTTGGGAGAAGTAAAATGCAGCGACTACTGCGGCAGAGAGCAGTAGGATTAATGACTCCGATCTTGGCGCGATAGACGTATAGTACGTACTACGTATATACTCATACAGCAGGTTGAAATCGAACCGCTTAGAGATAGAGGTAGAGACAGGACAGAGACAGTACACAGAAGCAGCACAGCAATGTCCGTCAAGTCAGCAACGGCCAAGAACCCATTGATGGCCGGTCAGCAGCAGCAGCCTAGGCTCGCCGGCGGGTTATACAGTCAGCAGCCGCGGCTGTCCAAGGCTAAAAGTAGCCCAAACGTGTCGAGAGTCGTCGCTGCTCCTGTGGCTCGTTGCAGCGGCGGCAATGTTAAATTCGAGGACAAGCCGCCAACGACGACGACGAATCGGCCACTGAAAAACGTTAATCAGAGCAAATATTCGGTCAGAAGTGGCACACCAGCGGGAGCGCAGCAGACACAGCAGCAGCAAGCGAAAGATAAAGGGCGCATTGTTTCGACGGCGCTAACGAGCGCGTCGAAATCGAAACAGAGCCACGGCAACGCCAGAATGGCCACGAGCAACAACAGCAACAACAACAACAAGCCCGATTTGGTCGGTGTCGTTAAGAAAAAATCGGTCAAAGACTCGTCCTGCACGATACTGGAGGACAGAGTACTGCTGAAGAAGGGCCTTAACTCGCACGGGCCAGCGGCGGCCGGACAAACGAACAGATTGCCGAAAAAGCCCGAGGAGCTGAAGAAGAAAGTGCTGGGCAGATCGACCAGTCTGTGGAATGTGCACTCGACGCCGATGTGCGGAAATAATAACAGCAAGACGAGCAGGTACAGCACGAGTGACGCTTCGTGTAAACAGCTCGCCAACAACAAACAGTATCCGAAGCAACAGAAACAGCAGCAGCGGCCGAGCAGCGGTGGTCTGAGCAGAGCGACGAGCCTGTGGAGCGTGCCAGCGGCCGCCACTGCTCAGTGCGGCCTCGGTAAAATGCCAAGTCGAATACCCCTGTCGAGGCAGCACCTGGCCAACCTGGGTCAGTCTCTCGTCGATCTGTCGCGCGCAGATCGTAGCGTTGAGCGGACCAGCAGCAAGCCGGTGGCAGTTGTTAACGTTGTACCAGCGGAAGTCGTAGCCGTCGACGAGGTGGACAGATCCGTGGACGAGCACATCTACGAGAACTGCCGCAAGAAGGTCGAGGTAGAGGAGGATCCGTCGCCGATCTACGAGAATCTCGAGGAGATCAAGAAGAAGCAGCGAGAATTGCCCGAGCTCACGATCTTCGACATAGAGAGACGAGCCGAGCAGCTGATGGCCGAGCTCGAGGCGGACGACGACGACGATATACCACTGAAAGCACCTACGGTACAGCCCGTTTTACCGAAGAAAAACACGTCGTTCGCCAAGAGCCAGGACTGCTTGAACGCGCTGAGGCACAAGCCGAGCGACTGCGAGATCAGCATTCGGCAGATACGTCAGAATTGGGAAAAACAGATCAAGGGCTGCACAGATGAAGGTGGTAATAACAAGGTCGTCGAAGCTCCGATCTCGAAAAAGCGTACGCTGTCCAAGTCGATCAACAACGTCAACGACGCGGCTCTCGTCGAGAGCAAGAGCAACAGCGTCATCAACAATAAGTGCCAATCGAAGCGAGCCAAGGACATCGAGCACCTGGTGAACTTTTTCAATTGTAAAAACGCCGAATCCACCCCCAACAAACCCAACACCACCACAGTCGTCGCCACAGCCTCGCCCGTCATAGCGAGCTCCTGGACGAAATCGCCGGTCGTCGGCGTTAAGAGCCGAGGTGACAAGAGCGAGAAGAGCTGCGGCTACACGTCGGACGGCAACTCGTCCGAGGACAGCGGCCACATCAGCAACGAGAACGAGCCCGACTGGAAGGACGAGACACTGCCCATCGAGGAAGAGACGATCATCGGTTCGACGAGCAGCAGTAGTAACGGCAGCGGTAGCGGCAAAATCGATCGCGATTTGTTTCTCGCGGAGATAATCCAAGATCTCGACGTGAATCTCGTCGATCTTGACGACGACGATGAGGACGATGAGAACCTCGACGTCAATGACAAAGTGAAGACGCTCGTGAAGCGCGAGAGCGTCGACAGTTGTATCGAGAGCGGCTGGGACGACACCATCAAGGTGCAGACACCAGCGAGAAAGGTACCGCCGCCACCCACGCCGACCAAGAGACACACCAGCACTCCCAACAAGGTATATACTAGGATAACCGAGAAATTCATTTAGCGCGCGATAATAATTAAACGGACGTGGAAAATTGGCCTCGAACGTTTTTTGCAGTTCATTAAGAGCTCAATGATCATCGACTGTATACTGACAAATCTCGGTGCGTTTCTAATCGAATTAGAAACTCATTATATACCGCGCGCGCGCGCGGTGGCGCTCGCCGCGGGGATTGATAAGTTGACATTTTTAATACACTTTCTATCGCGATCCGGAATATAAGCGCACAGAGCTACTGTGAGCGCGTTATATATGAGTAATTACGATCATCCTCCGATCGTTTGAGGCCTTGATGTATTATGTTTTTTTTTCTTCGTTTCGTACTACTGCTACTACCACCGCACGATAAAAACCTTCTCGTTCGCGACTCGTAAAAAATTGCGAAGAAAGTCGACGCGATCGAGTCGAGCCAAGAGAGAGCTTTCTTTTACTGGTTCCGATCGAACCAAAAACTCATTAATCAGCTGTTATCGATAATGTATTATGGCGCTTTAATGGCCATTTTCGCACACCGAGCCACAGTTGTTTTTGTTGTTGTCGTCGTTGGTATATAAACAGGAATTGAAGTACGTCGAAAATTCGTCATTATGTATCGATGAATATGTATATTATTATAAATCGACTCCGTTTTTACCCGTATACTAATTAGTTCGAGCATTTTTATATACACACACAAACGATGATGATCGCCATGGCAACAGAAGTAGTATTTTTATTTAGTGGATCGTGCCATTTGCTCGAGACCTAGTTTCACCGCTGCGTGAAATATGGGAAATTAGTCGCGCGTCGCGATGCGGCTTGCTTTTTTTTTTGATGAATGCGTTGTGTTTTCATCCTCTATTGTCAGTGCTAATGGCGCTAATACACGTCGGTAATAGGTGTACAAATAAAGAAAAACACGACGACGAACTTTCGTACAAATGCGTGTGTGTGTGTGTACCTAAGCGTCCGCGTATAGAGTAGTCTTTTCGCGCTTCGTCGTTGACATTATATGCGTGCGGCAGCGTGTGCGCTGGATGAAAGAAAAATATAAGAGGTAGCCTCGTGTGTGTGCCGCATAATACGCGCGGTTGCAATTTTATACGAGCAATTTAAAACTTTCATAATTGGCCGCGGTGTGCGTATACAAATGCGTATAAACAAATAATTGCTAAATATGTGTACAGTCCATTTGGGTGCTAGTCTTTGATAACTATAACATTTATATACTAATATATAAATATAATGCATATATATGTTTCTCTCTCTTTCGTTCCGAGAGCAGCAGCAGCTGCGGAACTTTCATCCGACCTCGTATATTAATCCATCTGAAAAATTACCGTAAAAGAAAATTTACGTTTACACGCTCACCTGTGTCTATACCCATGCGACTGTGTGTGTGTACGCGCAAATTTCTCTCTGACGGCGGCGGCGGCAGTAAGAGAGCGACAAGTGGCGTATAGAATTAGTTTTCCCCGCCGTCATTATAACGGTTATGCGCACGACCCGCGCGCGTGTGTATTTGCACGGTGCGTACAGTCTACATAATGGATATTATACATATGCACACACACGCATACTTTACATACGTACGATATATAGAGATGTAGGTTCGCACAGACGGAATATAGATATCTATGATTGCTGTATAGCGTGGAGATTCGATGTGTGATATTATGCGCTTACTCCAAACGATTTTTTGAATGAAAACTTCTTAAGGGATCTTGGGTATGGGTAGTTAACTCGTAAAAATCGAACAAGTGCGATAATCGGTAGGTTTTGTGTCTCAGGAACGTCTATGTGTATGTAAAGTTCATTCTTTTAAAAAATGATATGCTCCGTTTAATAATTATAAAATTGAGTTATATTTTTTTAGAAAAATTTAAAGATAAACTATTGGGGAATTCGTTTTGTATTGTAGCGAAATTTAGCGTAACCACATGCGTCTCAGTTTCTCATGAGCTTTTTCATTCTATCAACAGATGGCGTATTGTAAACTCGCAAGTAGCAAAAGAATTTCCGATTAGTATAAATATAAAACATTTTGTACGATTAGTACGATCTTCTGACTTTTCTTATTAAACATGATTAAGCGCGCGTGGCCATTATATCGCGCGGAGCGATCTTCGACTCGTGCCAGGGGTGCAGGTCAAAAACCAATGAAAGAGTCGTTGGGTAATCCGCGAGGTCTATTGTAAGATCTTCATTGTCTCGATGACGCAATCTCCCGATTTTCTATACCCATTGACGTATTGTTATATTTACTCGCTTACGTGCCTCGTAAACTGCCTTCGAGAAGGCGTTTACGTATACGCGTGCAGTCGCTACTTATGTACTTTATGCTTCTTCTTGAAATTTGTTTTCATTGGAGGCTGTGTATCGACGTCGACGTCGAACGTCTGTTTGTTTTTTTTTTTAAGAATCAACCTGTGTACAGGACGAATAACGTAATATATGTATCTTCATTAAAAGTGAAAATCGATACGTACTCGTCGAAATAGACACGAGGCGCGCGTTGTACTTTTCACTTTGCAGCTCGTCCCAAAAATATTGAATTACTTCGGGGAGTTTGGACGAGCCTTTGCAGTATGGATACTCTATATATATACGATATACATAAAATACAAAACATATATCTCTCTCTCTCTGTGGATGCGCACATGAGTAATATACGAGTACTTATCTTATTCGCTTTTTTTCCCTCTGCCAACAGATATTTTTCCGTGCCGGCACGCTCGAACGATTGGAGTCACAAAGGGACGAGAAGCTCACGGGACACATAATTCTGCTGCAGGCGAGATGCAGGGGTTATCTCGCGCGAAGGAAACTCAACACTCTCAAGGTACGTTCGCAGCGTATATAGCTTTTTTTGTTTGTTTCGTTTTCGTTTTATGTAGTCTAAATTGATACGTGATACTCGACTTTACGCGCGCGCTTACTTTTTTGCGGGCGTTTTTTGTCCACTTTTTATTATTCCGATTATTCTTTTTTCCCCTCTTGCCTTGTTTTTTTGAACATTTGGAACGTTACGTAAGTCCCTTCCTCGGGCATCGCCACCATATGCACGAGCCGCGATTTTTTTACCGGACGAAAATTTCGCCTCGTCTCGTCCGGCGCGCATGTCGAATCATCCACGGCGCGCGCACGATGTAATAAACAACAATCGCCCCGGCGCGGGGCGAGACAAATTATTATTCGTTGCGCTTTCAATAAAGAAAACGTATAATTTGAAAACGAAAGTGTATGTATATATATGCACTTCGGCCCGAGCATAATTGCACCCAGACGAAGAAGAAAATTGTCGAATGGGCATCGCGCGCGCGCCTATATTAATAACCGAACGCGAGGGGCTATATAAGACAGAGAAAAAGAGGAAATACACTGCAGTGCTGATAATGAATTATTATTGTTGTTGTTGTTGTTACACAGCTTCAAGATTTGGCAGTGAGATGCATCCAGCGCAACGTGCGAAAACTCATGTCCGTCAGGGAATGGTCCTGGTGGCGATTGTACGTGAAAGTGGCGCCTCTGCTCAACGTTCACCGCACCGAGGATCAGCTCAAAGCGAGAACGGTGAGAGTTCAATTTTGTGTATTTTATTTTTTTTGCTTTCGTTATATAGATGTTTACGCACGCACGTATACGATTTATGCGATATCTAATTAACTCGTCTAGTCCAGCTCTCCGCGCGGTAATCGAGAGTGTTATCGCGCCAAACCGTTTCTCTCTCTCACGCGCGCGAATCTGTGTCAATAATATATATATGAAACATTATTTGGCCTATCGCGTGCGGCCAGGACGGCGCGCAGGACGATCGATCGATCGATCGATCGAGATCGGTACTCCGCGATATATCATGTTATATACTTTATAATACGTGCTACGATATAAATTACGGAGCTGCTCGGCATTTACTGGAAAGTATATACACACAGACACACGTACTGCGTGCGCGCGTGTACACTGTATATATACCGATCTCGAGCACAGCGAAAACGAACGGCACACGAAAAAAAAAAAAAAAACAGATCGGCTTAAAAATCGCTTCCTTATACTGAATTTGATTAATCGATCCGAGCGACGATCGGACTTTTATGTACACAGACGCGCAGACACGCGTGCGTATACACTTGCGCGCGCGCGCGGGTATATCGCGGACTTTTATAAGTTAAACCGGCTGTGTCGCGCTGCTGTGCGTGTGTGTGTGCTATACATATAACGGTACAGCCGTGTAAGTATAGTAGCCGCGGTGTACTCTCGTGCTTCTGCGCACACCACCACCACTACCATCACCACGCGTTTATGTATGTGTATGTACGTCTGTCGCACACGTATTTATAAACTTATAAATAATTCGCTATCGACTAAATTTAAAATGATCGCCAAGCGCGCCCGTTAATCAGCCTACATAAAACGCGTGTGTGTGTCTGTGTGTGCACTTTAAACGGCTTGTATATACTTGAAATGCGGGCTTTCGTTGATCGTTAATGCACTACTGCAAGCGCGCGATAATTATAAACCGATAAGCGCCGCGATGCAATGGCAATTGTCACACACAGACAGACAATCGTCGTTGTCCCTAAACACCGCCCGTGAGAGTGATTTATTATTGTTTCGTTCGATTTCTTACTGATTTATACGTGCGTAATATAATCATCATTTGCTTGTTGTGCGTTTTCCGTAATATCATACCGGCGCCGCCGACGCCGCCGCGCCGTTTCATTGGTAAATAGCCTCAATAATAATAGGCTCGGTCATCTTTATCCCGGTCGGCGGCGTCTGCTGCTGTTGCCGTATGTACTACTACCATGGGAATATGTGTATACGTTGGAGCTCGTTTCGCGTATATACTCGCATGTATAATATAATAATAAATAATGCAAGCTCGACTGCTGCCGCATGCTCGCGCGGACCATCTGGTTTTTCTCGCTGGTGGCGGCTGCTGCTAGTTGTTGCACACGCCATGCGCCAATGACGACGATAAAACTCATTATATGGGCAGCCGCTCGGCGACAATTACCGACTACGACGACCGATGATCATCCTCTTCTTCTTTTCTCTATTGCAGGAAGAACTGGAGGTGCTGCGCGCAAAGGTCGATCGGCTGGAGCAGGAAAGGAATCATCTGAAGCACGACAACGACAGGCTCGAGGCCAAGGTAAGATTTCTATAATAACGCACCATCGATTTTACGTTGTATAATCGCTGTTTACCCGCGGGTATATGTAGAATATTTTCGGCTCAGAACGAATTCTATATGGAAAACAAAATAAAAGAGACCGTCGATCGCCGAACGCTGTTATCGTCGAGCTGATAAATTTCGCATTGGAAAAACTAGCACGAGGAATTTCCATAATACAGCCTCGCGGGTGAGGCTTGATTCTGCGCTGCGTATATAAAAGTTTAGTATAATCCCATGTATATGCGCGCGCGGAGGACGAAAAAGTACTCGTCATCGTATTAACGAACGCATATATATATATTCGATAAATACGCCGATATAATAGTCGAACGATATCTCTTTAAGCTAAGAAAGCTTTTAGCTGCAAACCAGTCTTTATATATCCCGCGATTTGTCCAAAGAATGCTTCTTACGTTCTTCTCTCGTTTACCGATCTTATAGTATTTGTGCGCGATCGAGTAACCATCTCCGTGAGACTAGCTCTGCAGCTGTGCGCTGCTTCACTTTATCTATACCTGCTTTTTTTATCGCTTCAACTACTACCACTACTCGATGATTCCAAAACGAAGCAAAAAGAATTTTTAATGGAATTATGCGACTAATTTGCGATCTCGTGCGCTTCTAGCCTCTCTATAATAATAACGACATCATCGATCCATATTATCCTCGTCGCTAGTACGAATTATACGACTTTCCTCGTACAATGGGTCGTCGTCCGTACGATCTATGGGCAATGCGGAAACTGCCTCGCAAAATTGAGGATAACTAATGCTTTATAATACAAAAGGCCTTTCGCGCGCGCGCGCTTGAACTACATTACATTATTTTTCTTTACGGTTTGTGGCTTTTATTTTACGGACACAAGTCCGTCCGTAATGTATTACGTACACACAAAAACGAAGGAGAGGAAGGATAGCGCAAGAAAAAAAGCTCGAGTCAGAAAAAAAACTGACGATTTTTCGCGGACAAAAAAAGGCCCCAACCGTATCGACAACCGTTATTATTAAGCGCAAAACAATCGAAAGATCAAGCGGCACGATATTATTATATCTCGAAATGATAACGTAGTAGCGAGTTGTAGCGTGTGCCTGTCTGCCTGGACGCTGTGTACTGCTGCTGGTGCAGTGCAATCGCACGCGTGCAAAAATTTTCAAACCCCATGAATTGGGTCAAGTGCAGAGTGCCTCGTGTATATCCATACACACACACACACACACACGTACGGACAAAAGGTGCCACTGACCTGAATCCGTATGGGGGGACTCGCGGCGGCGGCGCTCGCACTGTGTTAAAGCAGGTGAAACGTTACTTCTCGCTCTTTCTCTTAATATAATACGTGCTGCATATGGTGTGTGTGTGTGTATATATTGCGTTCCGCGGAGCTGCAGCGTACGTATAACGAGAGAGAGACACGGGAAAAATGACACTCGCTCGCCCGAAGGATTTTTTCGATCGATCAAGCGCCGGTGCTGCACTGCACACGGGCTCTCGACCGATGATAAAGTAATTAACCTTTTCTTTTCTAGATAAAATAAACAGTTAGGCCCCCGGAGGAGGGAGAAAATGCATACGATTATGTACGTCGAGTCGCGCTTTCGAAAATTCGTTGAAATGTCCGCGTGTATGTATATTATAAACAACGTATCGCGATCCGCGCTCCGCTGACCGTAAAAAACGAGACAACTGGGTGTATAGGAGCTTATATGTGTGTACGACCGATAAATCGTACTTATATACGTTTGGCGAACTTTCGTGCAAAAAAAAAAGGAGAATGACGAAGAAGAAGCAGCAGAAGAAATAATCGATCGGAATAATTCATGGAAATTCGTATGAAGTACTTTCATCGTTGTACTTTCTCCCGATTTTATTAATTGAATCGGGTACCAGCGACGAATGATTTCCGCGCGGGTGCGTGCGCGATCGATCACATAGTTTTCGCCTAAAACTCGTCGCACGCACGTATACTCGATCAAGCAGATTTGAGATCGACTGACCTACTGATTTTTCCTGCGATTCGTTCGTTTTGTTTTTTTTTCCTTCGTGTCTTCTTCGTCTTCCGCGAATCTCGAGCTCGACGATGATGGGCCTTTTAATCTACTCCCTGTCGCGTACGAAGCAGCGATGAATTACGCGCGTACTCATTGTTCGGCTTCTTTCGTTTCGTTTCATTTTATTTATTTTTTTTAATTTGTTTCCTGCTCATATAGCAGGCATTCCATTGCTCTAATGAGAAGCGCCGTCGCCACGAACCCGCACGCATCACGCGAGATATACGATTTACAGTTCCTTCGACCCGCGAACTATACTCTATAATTCACACACAGACAAACGTGCGCGCGGGTGAACTTGTGCCCGCGGGCGCCGAGCTAGAAACCGATAATTCGATCGATCGCGTTACACATTATAATAGTCACGACTCATCTGTATAAACAATTCTTTTTCTCTCGAGGTGCGATAAAAATCAACGGTTTACGAACGACTGCACCTACTGCGTGTATAAATATATGTACGTCGCTGTACATTGACCTCGTATCTGCAGCAACAGGTGTCTCTCTATCTTATGCTCTCTCGCTATATCTTAAGCTGCCGCGTATATATTATAATCGATTGTAAGACTTTCTGCGTGCGGCTTGTTATTTCTTTCTCTCTCTCTGTTGCTCTTGAATACATTACAAAACGTGCGCGAACGTGTGCGAAACGCGAGAGAGATTAGATTAATTTAGATATACCGGCCTTTGCCGACGCCTGAAAGAGAGATAATAAAGCACCCGATATATCTGATAGATAGATCGCGGCGAGAGAGCAAAACAAAATAATTCACATCAAAATAAAAAAGTAATAGTCAACATCGAGTTTATTGCGCCGACCGTCGTCTCGCGACCGAGTTTGTGCGATTCGCGACAAAAGCTCGTGTGCGTGTTGTGTGGCACATTCAGAGGCGTTTATTAATAAACAAGCGCGTGTGCACGTACGTATCATCGTCATCAACTCACCGGGGGAATACTGCACTTGGAAAACTGTATCATTAGAGCTAGCTGCGCTGCGCGTCTTCTTTCTCTTTCTTTCTCATGGTGTGTATACGTATTAGCCTGTCTTCTTCTTCTTCTTTTATATACATATATATCTGTCTCGGTACGGTCGCGCTTTTACGACGCATATCTAATAGCGTATTATGCGCGCGCGCGCACGAGTCACCGTGGGAATGGGTTTATTGTGCTCGCGCATTGATAGAAAAATACAGACACACTCGTATAGAGAGAGAGAGATGGCTCAAAAGCACGCGCGTGCGTGTGTGTTTTTTTTTCATTTCATTTCGTTATAATCATTATCATTCCTTTCGGGCTGCGCTCGCGCGACTACTACTACCACTGCAATTGCCCCGCATCAGAACGTGGGTAAAACTTCGCGAGTTTTATAATTATCTATGTATACCATACCGGAGTGCGACGCTCGAACGCAAAACGAGAGAGTCGCTACTCGCTGGATTTAGATTTCTTTGGATTTTATTTCGGTTTGCAAACTGCACGAGAGAGAGAGAGAGAGAGAGAGAGAGAATCTTTGAACTAGCTTACGCGCGCGTGTGATATAACACTTGTTGTGTCTAATAGATCTGGAGCGCGGTAGAGAAGTGCTCGATCCCCCGACCATAGGCCTCTCTCGCTTTGCTCTCTTTGAGGCGCATATTAAAATTAATATTCCACGCGAGCTCGTTGCGCGAGCGCCAGCTCTCTGTAAGTGTGTTTTTCACGTATGGATGTGTGCTGCTATAATACTACACCGCGCGCGATGCTCCAGAAGATAACGCAGCCCGCATAAAAAGAAATGAAGTATATAATCAAACTATAAAACTCGTCTAGGCATCTGTCGAAGCGCTCGCTAATTAGGTTACTGCTGCTGCTTTTTTTCTTCTTCTCTCTCTTTCTCTCTCTACGCACGGCACGCGAGAGCACCTATATGTACGCGAAACACCCACGGAGAGGAGGAACTCGAGAGATTAGATTAGATTAGATTAGAATATTTATTGGGCCATGGTTTCCCGTATGGCACACAGGCTTATACCTCAGGGTAACTAAAGGTATAAGCGTTACATAAATGTAGACAAGAGTAAGGTAAAGTAATTACAAAAGTAAGCAGTAAGCAGTAAGCAGTAAAAGTAAGCAGTAAGTAAGTAGAACAAAAATAGTGAACAGAACGTTGTTTGGTAGCAGTAAGATTTAAGCAATCAAGACATGATTTATGCCAGGGCGCAAAGTCCTAGTGACTAGCTACTCTCCTCTCATCCCCAATCAATTTAGTGAAAATGATGTTTTTGATGTGAGAGATGCGTGATGGGCAGAATAATAAGCGGGTCGTGAAGAACTTATTTAGTAGGTCCGTGGCTGTGTAGACGAAGGACGACTGGTGAGCGCCAGTGCGTACTGAATGACCAACAATAGATCTTTGTGGTAGTCGCGATGATGAACGATCGATGAGGGCCTGTGATGGAAGAGCGAAACGAGAGAGAGAGAGAGAGAGAGAGACTCGACCGAAGACGACGACGACACGCCGACGAGGAAGAAAATAAATATATATGCTGCTGCTGCTGCGCGGCGTTTATGGCGTACCACCGCACGTTGGCCGATATCCAAAAAAGCTCGCGTGCTCGAGAATAACTCGACTACTGGGTTGACTTATATACTATTTGCCACTACCTACTGCTGCTGCTGCTGCTGCCATCGAAGGCGAAGAGGCGGTAGAGCGCCGCTATAACACACACAAGACTCTCGAACGAGAGAAACATTTTTCCGCATGCGAAAATCCGTCCCTTTAGTCGCGACTTGGCTCTTCCACCTTTTGCTCCGTGTGTCTCACCACACCAACTTCTCTCTTTCTTTTCCTCGTTCGTGTGTTCCTCTCTCTCTCTCTCTCTCTCTCTGTATAGTTCTCTTTTTCTCTCTCTCTTTTGCCCGACGTAGTAGTATAGTGTTATTAACGCGCGATCTTTTAGCCTATAGGGTGTGCGTCGACGTTACGCAACCGACTTCCGAGTTTTGCGACGAATTTTCCCATTGTTATAATACGATATATACCAACGCGAAAATAGCTGTGTGACCAGCGACAGAGAGCTAAGTGCGCGCGCGTACAGTGTGTTTTTTTTTACGCCAAGCCAGTGTGAATTATCATGATTAGCCTGTGAGAAGAAGAGTTTAAAAAAAAAGAGTCGTGTTTGAGTGTTGTCGAAATTCCTCCCCGGTATTGGAAACGATCGTCGAAGAAACATAATCATGCCGCTGTCGCCGACCACGTACATCGAGCCGCTCGGCTCCTCGTCGTCGAGCAGCAGCAGTGCCGCCGCTGCCCAGCATCATCGAAACCTCCTGCACCACAATCAATACAATCACCACCACCACCACCACCACAACCACCATCACCATCGCGATCCCCCCAACATCATGATCAACGATTTGCCCTCCCTGTCGCAGCTGGCCAGCATGAAAGCCGCCGCGGCTCGTCGGCCACCGCTGCCACCCTCGTCCTCCATGTCCAGCACCTCTGCCACCTCATCCGCGGCATCGATGCCGTATCATCACAGCAGAGCCCTGTCGAAGGTAGCCGTGATCCGGCCGACCATACCGATGGGCAGCAGATCGCCTTCGCCCAGAATGCCCAGTAGTTATCATCATCATCATCAACGTCTGCGCTCGCCCTCGTCGATGTCGTCGTCCTCGTCGGTGCACAGCGGCAACGGCAGCAGCGTCGGTCGCGCCTCCGTCTCGAAATCGCCCACGCCGCGACGAGTCTTTCCCCAGGAGGCCAAGGAGGCGGCCGACCTCGACCTCGAGGAGGAGCTCGAGGCCAAGGAGCAGGCGCCCGTCGTGTTCGAGGGCAGCCTCAACTTCGTCCTCGGCCTCGACAAGCAGAAGGTCCGCCAGAATTTCCAGCCCACGGCGTCGCACCTCGAGCCGCAGACCGCCTCGTCCTATCTGTCCTCGAAGATAGCGAATTTCCTGCAGCGCACCGATCACATAATGGACGAGTGGAAGCGAATCGGCCGCGGTGGAAGCGTAAACAATGGCACGGACGACGACAACAGCAACAGCTGCAGCCGCAGCATGACGCCGAGCCGCAGCGCGACCAATATCATGATCAAGGCTTATCAGCTGCACAGCAGGTCCAGCAGCGTGGCCAAGAGTCCCTCGAGGCCGGTCTCGAGACTGTCCGAAGAGCCCAACAACGGCAACGACCAAGACGACGACGACGACGACGACGATAAGACACTGTCGCACTGCGACGAAGAGGTGATCACACGATTCACACACGCTTGCGTTGTTGGCTTTACATATCTTGAAAATTGATGTTGATGTTGTTTTCCGCCTATACTTTTTAATAACACCACCACCAAAAAAGCCTCATAGCATGGAGCGCTCTTATTGTATTGTGACGTTGAATTGATTATGTATGTAATATACTAAACTAAACGCCGAAACAGTGCGCGAACACACGTATATATAGACTTGTTAATTCTAATTTAGGCCTTGAGAGCTTTTACACTAATACGGAGGCGAACTTTTCGATGTTACTACTACTACTACTACTACTTGCTCGTTGGGTGAGTGTGTGCCGACAGAAAATATATATTTTAAGATGCGAGCTTGTTAGATCGGCGCCGACAGTAGTGGCAGCCCCGAGACATGCATACACGATAATATATAGAATTCGTTCTGAGCTCTCTCGTCGTTAGCACGTTTTGTCAATGTATGTGTGTGTGTATGTGTGTGTACCGATCGTCAGTACTAACTTTCCTCAAGTTTTACGTTTGAGCTTGCGTTTGATGATATATTCCGTTATACGAGTTGAGCACGATCGCTAATGCAAAGATAATTTACACCCGTAACTAATTAAGTATCGATTACTTCGAGGGTTTAAAAAAAAATAACACGAGAGATAAAGAAAATTAAAAGCATCGTCGTGCGCCAGAAGGAAAATGCAAATCGCAGTCGATTTATTCGGTCTCTTCGAAATCTCGCCTGCAGCAACAGCAGTACGCGCGCGCTTCGTTAAAAGCGTACGATATATATATAAAATCGTCGAGCAGCTCAATGCAGTTTTAGCTTCTGCTGCCGCTGCCGCTGCTCGCTTATATACAATATGATTTCCAGAATGGGTTACGAGACGCGTGGGTGAACTCGCTGCAGCTGTTGCTCGTAAAATTCATCTCGGCCGCTGCTACTGCTGCGTCGCGCTCGAAAGTAAATTTTCGATAAAATGGAAATAACACGCGCGACTCGCGGAGATATTAGCCCCGAAAATGCGTGACAATTGATTTACGGCCGCGCTGCCGGGGGATAATATCGCCGAGGTCGTTGAACCCGATGTTTCATTTATACACCTCGTCCATTCGACTCTTTTTTCATTTTCATTTTCGAATAATTAAGCGCGATTTTTTTGAATCGACGCGTTTATTATTCTTTTTTTTTCATAATATATTCCATCGCTGCGTGAAACGCGATATTATCGAGCCGTGAAACACGAGCGTTGCCCAATTGCGCGACAATGCCAATCAATGAATGCCAATTAATAATTTTTTTTTCTCGTCGATACGTAGTTGAGCGAGATGACGGCCGACTTCGCGGAGGAGCACTCGACGTCGACACTGGCCGCGGAGCGCATCGACGCCGAGCACGGCGAGCGTCTCAGGCTCGAGCGCGAGCTCCAGGATGTCAACGAGACCAACAAGAATCTCCAGCAGCAGGCCGAGCGTCTGGAGATGGAGTTGCTCTACGCTCGCGCGGCGGATCTCAACGGCCTGACGTCGGACGCCGAGGACGGCGAGGACGGCGCCGTGTACAAGCAGAGGTATCAGCACGCGATGCGCGAGCTCGAGTTCACCAAGCGCAAGATGGCACAGCAGCACGAGGACGATCTCGAGCAGTTGGTCGGTTTGAAGAAGCAGCTGGAGAAGAAGGTACGTTATACGTTGTTCTATCTGGTCGTTATCGAGTAAAAATTATAGGTTGTTAATGCGCCAATCTTATTTCTGATTCAGCTCGCCGACGCTTACGAAGAAGTCGAGGAGCAACGACAGGTAGTCGGCCAGTGGAAGCGACGAGTGCAGAAGCTCAACGGAGAGATGCACGACCTGAGACTGCTGCTGGAAGAGCAGAACGCCCGGAACAATTTGCTCGAAAAGAAGCAACGCAAGTGAGTTTTTTTCGTTTTGTTTCGTTTCTATTGTCGCGCGTCTACTCGTCGAAGCACTTTCTCGAACCCGGCACGATATAGATAAATGGAAACAACGACGATTTCGTCACGTTGTAACCCAACTGGAGTCTCGGATTTCGCCTACGTATACGACGACGGCGGCGACTGTGCGCGCACAGTGCTGATTCGCTTTAAATGGAAATGATGCACTTCTGCGATCGTTGCGAGCAATTTAATAACGCTGCGAAGGCAATCCACGAGGGACACGCAATCTTATCGTTTATTTTTTATTCATATTTTTTTTTAACGACACGATTACTTACTCTACTACTCCTAAGCACCAATTTTTTGTTTGAACACGAGACTCATCCTTGCACGTCCATTTATTAGGATGTTACTTTGCAGATTCGATGCAGAATCGGCAAACGTCATGGATGAATTGCGGCAAGAAAAGGCCGCGCGAGAACGAATGGCTCGCGAGAAAGAGATCGCGATCGCCGAAAAGTTCACGATCGAGCAGACTTTGAGCGTGAGTATTATTTTTCGAATTTATACTTGTTTAAAATAATACTGATAGAGCGTTAACTAATGAAAGTAATTTTTATCTTTTAGGATGTGAGACTGGAACTCGAATTGAAAGAAGAACGCTTGCACACATTGACCCAAGAATTGGAGGAGCTCACGTTCGGTGGCAAGACCGAGGAAGAGGTGGCTCAGCTCAAGAAGGCCAAGCACGAGCTGGAAAAGAAATTGAAGGATCAGGAAGAGGAGCTCGACGATCTGGCCGGACAGGTGCAACTGCTCGAGCAGGCCAAGCTGCGTCTGGAGATGAGCATCGAGCAGCAGCGCAAAGAAATGCGCAAGGAGATGCAGCTGCGCGACGAGGAGCTCGAGGACGTACGCGGCAACTCGATGAAGAAAGTCAAGGCGCTGGAGCAGCAGCTGGAGAACGAGCACGAAGAGCGGACGCTGGTGCTGCGAGAGAAGCACGAGCTCGAACGAAGATTAATGGCGCTTGAGGATCAGGACAGGACCGACAGGGCCGCCGAAGCGGAGAACACGCAGAGATTGAAGCGCGATCTCAAGCGGACGCGCGCGCTGCTCAGGGACGCCCAGACAATGCTCGAGCGCTCGAAGGGAGACTCGACGGGCAAAGCCGCGCTGCGTCACCTGAAAAATCAGCTCGAGGACGCGGAATGCGCGAGAGCCGTGGCCGTGAAAGCCAAGCAGGCACTGGAGCAGGACCTCAGAGAGACCCAAGCCGCGCTCGAGGAGGTATCTAGACAGAGATCGGAGGCCGAGGACCGAGCCAACGCAGCCAACAGAGAGCGAGCCGAGCTCCTCTCGCAGGTCGAAGAGAACGAAGAAGAGCTCGCAGAGGTCAGCTTTGCATTTTTTGAATTGCTTTAAAATATTCTACTTTTTGAAGCCTTAATTAATCGTTGTTGTTTTTTTTTTTACTGTCTGAACAGGTGCTAAAGAAATATCGTGCGACCGTGCAGCAAGTGGCAGACGAGCAGGCACAGCTGTCCGAGTGCCAAGTACAAATATCAGCACTGGAGGCTGAGAAGGCATCGTTGAAGGATCAGCTCACGGAGTTGAGTCAACGACTGGAATCGGTCGAACAGCTTGGCGATCCCACCGCCAACAGCCTCGCGACCAGACGTCTCGAGTTCCGTACTAAAGAACTCGAAAGCAAACTGGAGCTCGAACAAACGACGAGAGCGAGATTGGAGGTGCGTATCGAGTCTTTTTTTCTTCTCGTAAATAAAATCGATCGAACGTGCATGAAAATAAATCCGTTGTATTTTGCAGACACAAATTGCACGATTGAAGGAGTCGGTCGAGAAACTTCAGTCGGAGACTGCTCAATTGCGCACGAAGGAGCAGAGCGCACAAGACACGGCGCGTCGTTTGCAGCGCTCTCTGCGCGAAGCTCGCGAGGAGGCAGCCTCGGCATCGGCGCGAGAACAAGAAGCTACGAGGGCGCGTCGGGATCTTGAGAAAGCTCTCGAGGCCTCGGAAGCCGAAACTAAAGTTGTTAAGGATGATTTGCGACTGGCGCTGCAGAGAATAGATGACCTGCAGAGTGCCATACAAGGTGATCTTGATCTTGACTGCAGTGAGGAAGCCACTAGCGAAAATAGTGATAGGTATGGCATTAGATTTTGAGATAAAAAATCGACAAAGATTTTTCTTCCAGAGTTTAAAATGACCTTTTTATTTTCATTTTCAGCGATTGATCGATATCGATTTCGGATGCAGTGTCCAACGATGGAGACGTTAAAGAAGAGAATGGCTGAAACGATCAAAACTCATTTGTATTTATAAATGACAATGGGAGCAACGAATTAATCAAACTCCTAAGATAGGGAAAACAAAACGACTGAAAATCAAAGTGCGGTCCGCAATTTTGCGGAACACTGCGGTATTATTCAAACGAAAAATGTTTTATATTAGCTTTTTTAAGTAACTAATTGTAGTTTTCAAACGCGATAGAGGTATATCTCTCTCAGAGTCTTAAGTGCGAAGCGAAATAATCAACAAAAGTAATCATCGTTCCGATTGTTCACGCAGTTATTATTATGTATTGTGCGGCAATTTTACTCATTTATATTTTTTTGATTTAATTGAGAGCCAATGTAAGCTATATATGACGGAGTAAGGCTCACCAATTTGTATAATCGTGTTCAATTGTTTCTTAAATCTTGTCAAAAATTGATTATTTTTGGTGCTGGCTCTCCACTGAAAATGACCAGAGATATATGTAATAAATCTCGGTCAAAGTCTTCCATAACAGGAAATTTTAATCAATTTAAGAGAGCGTATTGGTGCAATCGAGGTCCTAACTCCGTTATGCTGTAAGGCAATAATTAAAAGCTTGAACAATAATTATTTAAGACACAATAATTAAATCAATAAAAAATCTACAGGTCAAACCAGATTGTCTATTTGAACATACATGTAATTTTAATAAGATTTATCTCTTTCTATTATTTCGTAGTAAGATTTAAATGAACGAAAAATTGCATATACGTAAATGATGAAATGTAAGTTACATAAAAATGTATCATTACGATTTTATCATTGGAAGGTCAGTTCTGAGTCATCCCGTTCAGTATAAGAGGATATTAGAAATTTGAGGAGTACCGAGTCAAGTAGAGATTGAAAAAAAAATTAGATTTATTATATATTTATATATTATAAGTAATTTTATGGTACATTATGTTTCGAACGAAAATTTGTTGACGCAAGTCTTAACGGAACGTAATGGATGTTATTTAATGTCAATCAGGAATCGTTTTTACTTGTATGTGTTTATTTTATGTATAAAGGAATTATAAGAAAAAAAATCTATTTGCTGTTCGATCGTCTTGTAAGGGATCTATATGTATAACGTATTGCTTTGTAAAATGCAGAAAACATTTGATTAAATTGACATTGATTATTTCATTGAAAACACCTTGGCATTCCCAAGTCCCGCAGACAAATGTTTACTTCGTACTTCCAAAGTTCCAAACTTGTAATCTCAATTTTCTATAAATTTTTCTTTCTATACTTTACTTTACACGCTATACGATACCGCCGAGGTAATATTTATGTTTATTGCAGCGAAAAAGTTTTAAGTAATCCGATGAATCCTGCAGAATATGGCCATTGAAATAGAAAGAAGTATCGTTAACGGCGGTGATACACATGCAAAAAGCCATTGGGTAAAATGAACACGTTTTCCGATCGCCGCCGCGTCGTTCGGAATAAAGGGCCGAAAGAAACGAACAGCTCGCTTCGTTATTGTTCGTCGGGTACACATATATATCGGGATGAAAAAAAAAGAGATACTTCAGAGTGTCACGGAATAAAAGGGGGAGTAATAAAATGAAATTTACGATGCAAAGTACTGAAATCGAACTTTTTTCCTTTTTTTAATCAACCGAGAGGATTATTGAAGTTCCGAATTTTATTACTATAATTATCGAGCGTCGATGTGAAAAATGCACTAAATTTAATTTTAAAAATAAATCCTGTTGCACGCAAATGGGAAGCTTCGACAAAGCCATTCACGCGCGCGGCACGTCAATTCCTCTGCGAAATTATTCAACAATCATTCCTACATCATTACGTTTGCGTAATCGGTTGGCGATTAAAACGAGTCGCAGAGCGAGTGGCATTAGGTCGTATTTCACTTCCGCTCGATTATGCCCTCTCTATTATAGGCGCGCGAGCGCGACATATTTCGCGTGAATATCCGTAAAAAAAAAAGGAAAGGATAAACAAAACGAGAAAACGCGGCACACAATTTCTAGCGCGCTCATATGCGTCGCGGAGATTTGCAATTCATTTAACAAAACGATTGATCGAAGCTCCAATATACAGTTCATGCGTGTGCTATATACGGTCCTTGAGCGGTGCAGTGTGTGTACGCGTAGTTTCGCGCTCGCAAACGGACATTTATATATGCTATGCCGTTGCTGCTGCTGCTGTTGCTTCTTTGTGAGCGCGTGCCATTGTGCGTGGGAGTTTTTTTCGTCAACATTTATGTAGCTCGCGCGAGCACACTTTGATCAAAAAGACACAAAAAAAACAACAACAACAACGAGACAGGCGCGCATCGACTAAACTGTTACGCGAGCGGCGGTGTCTGTATACCAGCAACTGAAATGCGCGCATAGAAGGTAAAAAAAAAACACTCCAACGTATAGGCATACATGCGCTGCTCGTCAAAGTCAACGTAAAAATCTCACCCGCACACGTTTATTTGCTGCTATACATATAGAAATACGTGCCGTATACAACCGGACAGGCAGTTTGCAATCAATCGTCTGTATACATACACGGTATACCCATTCTATCTGTATAGTCGCGGCACACGAGCATGGAGTTTCTGTCGGTTTTAGATAAAATATATGTTCGGGATTTATGCGCAAAGCCCTGCTATCGAAAGAAATAATCTTTCGATTGTTTTTATGCAGAAATATTTTAATATGTTTAATGTATAAAGAGAGTGGTGGATTAGAACAAGTGTCGCCCCAGGCAAACCTTCACCTGCTGCTCAGGTAACTCAAACGTCTCTCGAAGTCTATCAGTTAATTTATCACAATTTTTCACCAACACATGTTTGATGAATTCGAGTCGTGTGTCATTTCGTGAGGTTTATCATAAATCCAGAAACCAACTGAAGGCTTGCCCCATTCAGAGTTCCAAGCAAGATGCAAAAAAACATTCTCGGATGATTATCGCATGGACAAATGCAGAAACTAAGTGGTTATAAGATGAACAGAAAGAAGTGATTAGTAGTAGGCGAAATCTGAAAACATCGCAACGTCGATGTAAAAAAGTATAATGATAATTTAACCCCTTAAGTTCAGGTAGTATACAATTATTTCAACACAATTTTATTGAAATTTATAAAAACATCCATTCGAGTGTCTATACATATTTATAATTGTTAATTATCATTTATTCTCGCAATTGTCGCACGCTTAATCCTGAGCATCGTGTACTGTCTTTTGGTGCCTGATCCGATCCGACCTTTTTCCAAACTTTTTCTTGCACCTGTCGCATGCATAATCTTTGCGACCTTCGTGTATTATTTTTTTATGGACGCGCAAATGCGATTGGTATCCAAATTTCTTTTCGCAGTTATCACACGCGTAATCCTTGCGACCTTCATGGACTATCCTTTGGTGCTTCAACACATCTGATCTAGTCCCGAATTTTTTTTCGCATTTGTCGCATGCGTAATCTTTCCGACCTTCATGGACAGTTTTTTGGTGGATTAGCAAATACGATTTTTGTCCAAATTTCTTCTCGCATATGTCGCATGCAAAATCTTTGCGACCTTCGTGTACTGTTTTTTGGTGGTAAAGCAGATTCGCTTTTTGTGAAAATTTTTTCTCGCATTTGTCGCATTCGAAATCTTTCCGACCTTCGTGGACTGTTTTTTTATGCAAATCCAAATGTGGTTTTTGTCCAAATTTTTTTTCCCAATTGTCACATGTGTAATCTTTGCGACCTTCGTGAACTGTCTTTTGATGAGTAATCAAAGTCGATTTTTTTCCAAATTTCGCCTCGCACTTGTCGCATGCATAATTTTTACAACCTTTATGGGCTGCCTTTATGTGCAAGAGCAATCTATGTTTATTTTCAAATCTTTTTGCGCACTTTTCACATAGGTAATCTTTGAAAACTTCGTGAAATATTTTGTTGTGCTTGAGTAAAATTGATTTATTTTCAAATTTTCTCTCGCACTTGGTGCACGTGAAATTGTCGCGATCTTTGTGAACTAATTTTTGGTGCTTAGACAAACTCGATTTTTTCACAAATTTCTTTTCGCATCTATCGCATGCCGAATCTTTGGGGCCTCTGTGTTCTGATATTTGATGCCTACTCAAATAACTTCGGAACTTAACTTTTTTTTCGCTTTTGTCGCATGTGTAATTTTTCTGATCATTGTGAGTTGTGTCTCGATGTATTATCATGCTTGATTCTAGTGTAAATGCCTCCTGACTAGTGTCACTAACATATTTTTTGTCGTCTGAAACAACAATGTCCTGTTCACTTGAATCATCTTTCGAAACGCTTTTCTCGGATTTCTTCTCACGATTATCCATATTGATGCCTAAAATAAACGATGGAACTTTATTTTTAGCACCACAGAAATAGAATAAGTACAATTTATCTTCTGATATTATTGATAGTTTCATCGGGACAGACAACATTCAAACTAATTTAATTTTACTACAAATACGATAATTGTGTCGAGAGACGATATCAAACTCGTTTATGTTCATATTGTTTACAATTAAGGTACCAATTTATCTGTTTATTGATTACCCTGGCAATATTTGAGGCAATTTAAAATTTAAACTTTGCAACGATTCTTTGAGGAATTTTTTGGCCTTCTAAAACTAAGTACTTCTCAAGAAAAATCTCTACGGATAACTAATAATACATTTACACATGTATATTAAAAATTTTTGATATCCATTCCAAAATTTTCCGCCCAACGCCATGGCGTGATTGGCGTGCTCCATAATCCATCGCTGTAGAAAACGATTAGTACCATACAATGTCAGTGTTTTTCGGTGCGAATTATCATTCTAATGTAAAAAGGTACAATTGACATCATGGTATTTTTATTTTAAAAATATATATTATGTATGTGTATAAAATAAATAAGATATTATATGTTGAGATATGTATGTGCAGCAAGTAGCTGTGTAGAAGGTAACCCATTGATAAGCTCATCAGCGATGAGCTTTGAATTTCATCACTAGATGTCACAATCAAATCCAAATGAAAAAAATTTAACTTCTATAATTATATTTCTCAAAAACCTCAAAAACCTCAAACTCTCGATGACTTTTAGTTGCCCCAGCGCAGGAAGGTATCTATTTCCAAGCTGTAGCAAGAAGGATACTTACTCGCGCGCAGAGGCAAAAAGGTATCTAACTCGAGCGCAGCGGCAAAAAGGCATCTAATTCGAGCGAGAAGCGAAAAAGTAGCTTATTCAAACGAAGTGGCAAGAAAGTTTTGACGCGCTGAATTTAGGTTGGCAACGCAGACGTAAATGATAAAATTTTGTTTCAATATTCAATATTCAACATTTAATTCAAACTTATGTAAAGCCGGTAACTTCTACTTTCCTCTCAGAACATACAAAGTTCTCCATAAGTGGCAAATTGAGTCGAAATCGCGGTGAGATTGATTTGTTTGCTCGCATTACAAATGAATGAAAATCATTACACTAGCTCACTTGTTTTTTCTCTTTTTTGCTCTAATACAAAGCACAATTTTATCATTTACGGCTCCGTTGCCAACCTAAATTCAGCGCGTCAAAACTTTCTTGCCACTTCGTTTGAATAAGCTACTTTTTTGCTTCTCGCTCGAATTAGATACCTTTTTGCCGCTGCGCTCGAGTTAGATACCTTTTTGCCTCTGCGCGCGAGTAAGTATCCTTCTTGCTACAGCTTGGAAATAGATACCTTCCTGCGCTGGGGCGACGTTTTGTTTTTATTAATTTACGGTTTCATTCGCAGGGTTGAAATCCTTTTTTGAACGTTTTTTTGCGGTGATTTTAAAATAGACCCAGGCAAAATTCGATGTAAGACGGAAAATATGGAGATTCGTACAATGTTTCAGTAGTTAAATCCTGAAAAAAGAATATTATTTTCTTTCAATGTTCCGAAATATAATATTGAATATTTTGTTGATTCATGCAATCGAATAAAAATATGATGTATAAAGATTATTGTACACCTTAATAGAAACTCTAAATATTAACAATGGCCTAGTGAATAAAAATGAAAATTCGAAATGTTTTGAAATACAATAATCATGTACATGATTATTAATTGGCTCGTTTTTGGCTATTTTATTGTTACGACTGTGTTGCATCGATCTGGAAATGCTAATTGAATCAAAAATTCAAGTCTCCACCGCCAGATGGCGAGTACCTTTATGTGTAAATCTGCAAGCGGCAAAGTAAAAATAATTGTATAAGTCAAAGCACGGTTTTCGAAATCGCTATGATGTAACTAATTCGAGAGTGCTATCAGAAAAAATACCCTCATACAATCAGTTAAAACAATTAGTATTGGTGGTTACTTCTTTTTCGCTTCATTCGTGTACCGAAAAAAAAGTATTCAGGCGCGAGTCAAGAAGTCAGGCCCAAATCGCTCGATCAAGTGCACACACACACACACGCACACACGAGTAAACGCGTTTGATAGTGACATTGTGGTCTATACCCAACAGTTTCCGGGGGGGAACGATTCACGGCGCAGTGCACTGCAGTCGGGCGATGGTCATGTACGTCGCGAGATAAGAGCAAGAAAAGATCGCGCGCTGGATGACGAGAAAAATTGAAGCACACGAGAAGTAGGCGAAGAAGAAAGTGAGCTGCACGAGGAGAAGTACTCGCGCGCGCGAGCGGGTATTATACGCGTGTATATGCGAGCTACACGCGGCCACTCTCGTTTGACGTTAATAATAGCCCCTGCACGAGAGCAGTAGATAAGGCAAAGTTGAAAAGTCGTAATATAATGACTCTGTCTCTCTCTCTCTCTGTCTCTCTCTGGGTCTTGCGGCGAGTAGTCGCGACCCGTGCGCGTCTGTATAAGCGTGTATGTGTAACCGAAGCTCGAGCATCCTGCGCGCCGAGTCCGAGAGGTAATTAACTAACGAGATTAAGGCCAATTAGACCATCTTTCGAAGACACGAGAGATAGAGAGTAATGCGCGCTTACTTTTATATACGTATATGACCATATGTCGCGGGTACGTACGCACTCGATGCGCCTCGCGTGAAGTATAAGAAACATCGTTCGCGGTGGTGGTGGTGGCGGCGAGAGACTTCGCGAAGCAGCGAGGATAGGATCATGGGACGAGTCGAAGAAGCTCGAGCGGCGGCGATCGACTGTTCAAGGGAAGCTCCAGTAGACAGCGAGCGATCGGCGCTTATCGGTTACATTAATACACGAGTCTCGCTCCGGCAGCAGCAGCAGCAGATTCTATGCCGTGTCGCATAATATAGTGAACTGTGTGTAAAGTAGCAGTGGCAGCGCACACGCATATAAATACGCAATACGTAATACGCGCCGCGCTACCTTTTTTTTTTGTTGTCGTCGTCGTCGAAGCGTGTCACACTGCGTCTCGCGCCGACGAAGCGCGCGCGCGCGACACTAATACTCGGGGCTCCTCCGTGCGCGCTCCAGCATCGCGACGTCGGTGTCGCGGCGATATCAACACTGCTCTGCACACACACACGCGCGTGAATCGTCGTCGTCGATCATGCCTCGATATTCATCGTGAAAAGTTTTTGTACGCGTACAGTTCTCGTTGCCGATTTCTGGATTCTGGGAGGAAGAGCTTGCGGACACTTTTCATCGTAACAAGGTAGGTGTTACTCTTTTGTGTGCTTTGAATTTAATTTGAAAGATTCGCGCGCCCACGAACGCAGTGCCTTTATTATATATACGATCGTAAGGCGACGAAATTTTCGGCAAGCTCGGCGGGAGATTAAAAATAAAACGTGCGAAGCTGCTGCCTATATGCCGACTGCGTTGTTGCTCGTAGCTCTGCTTCCCGTGTCGTTGAATTTTCTCTCGCAACTCGCGCACTCGCTGCATCGTATAGCGGAGATAAATAAATAATACTAAAATTCTGCCGATGAATATAATGCGCGCGAGACTGTGCGAGAGAGAGAGAATTAAAACATTTATCGCGAATTCGGAATGTAATATTCAGTCTCGTTGAGTTGGTTGCTCTCCAGATATTTTGTTGTTTTTTTACTTCTTCTGCACGCACAGTCTCGCAGAGATTAGCATCGTAATTTTGCGTGCGCGCACATACAGAGAATTTGCGCAAATGCGTCCGCACAAAGGGGAGGGCTTGCGCAGCTTTTTGTGGCTACTCTTCGATCTTTCGGCGATACCGATACCGTACTGTGTTAAGTTAAAGATCGACTGACAAGAAGAGGCTAAAAAAAAAAGTTCCTCTATACGCATCTCTGTGTGACAAAAAACAAAATATATTCTTACCCAAATTTCTTTGTTTTCCAAGATTTTATCGTATAAAACGTGAAAAAGTAAAAGGAATCATGACGGCAATAGTAAACGGCGCGTAATCGTTTCCACGAGATTCACGCGTGCGAGCCCGGCTACACATATCACTGGCACGCTCTTAATGATAGTTTATTGCTCGATAATGACTTGATTACATACATGAATATGAAATAATGTTCATCGAGATATCTTCTCCATCCAAATCTCCGTAATGTGATTTTTTTTTTAAATTATCTAATTATCTAATACTAATCGTTACTTAATCGCTGATGAAAATGTATGGGTCTATATAGATTTGACAGTTTGACTCCGAACTTGATACAGTGATTATGTGTTTATGTGTATCGCGTCGAGCGCGAGCAGTGTCATCGAAACGATTATAATTCGCGATAGCTCGCGCGACTACGACTACGAAGCCGAAGCACGTGCTCGACTATAGCATAAGCGATTTTGCGGCGCTTGCGCGCGCACGCTACTCCAAACGCGTTATCGCCTTCTCTTCGGCATAATATACACGTATGCGTGTTGTATACAAAAGCGCACGCTTATGTACTTCGATCGTGTATACACCCGAACTTTATTTTCGCCTTTTTTACCGGTTGAAATCGACCGATTCGAGCAAATCGAAAGAGTGTAGGACTCGACGAGTCCTCGACCGAGGGATGGCGCGATCGGCATCGAGATCCCGACGCGGCTTATCGGTGAAATCAGCGGCTCGATCGTCCGCGTAATATAATTTGTAATATCGGCTGCTCGCCTCGGTCGCTCCGGCACGTTTCCTCGATACGTATATATATACGTATATAATCTCTCCGCGTTCGCTCGCGTAGTTTTATATATGCACATGTGTGCGAGGCGTGCGAAAGCCGCAGTCGGCCGCCGCCGCTACGTTATTGGGCCTCGGTCGCACCCCACTCTTACGGACTTTTTAAAAATATACACACGCGCATAATGGGCAAAGAGAGAGAGAGAGAGAGAAAGAGAGAAGCGCGCGGTATTACATGCGTCTCTGTTTTCCTCGTGCGCGAATTGTTCCGTCTTTCTCGCTTACACACTCTTTCGCACTGTTTGGCAATCGAGAGCCGCGTCTCGCATTATTATCAGCGGGCGCGCGAGCGGCTTAATCCCTCTCTCTATCTCTTTCTCTTTCTCTTCGGCAGTGCTTCGGCGTTTATTCATATTTACGAAACTTGAACGATCGGCATTTAATTTTTTTTTTTTTTGTTTACGTTGTCTCTTTCTTCTTCTTGTGCTTTGATTTTGAAAAAAGGTCACACACACACATACACGCGAGTGTGCGTGGGGGAGTGCGAACTCAATCGCAGTGTGCGTTCGTGTGAGTGAGGGTGCGAGAGTACACGCGCCTGCGCGTGTATCTCGATTCTCGCGTATGCGAAAACGATATATATAATTTATATCCATGTGCACGACGTCGAGGTCCGAGGCTAATACTTTCGGAGTCGTCGACTGCTGCTGTTACTGCTGCTGCTGCTGACGAGCAGAAATGCCTCGGCCGAGATAATACATAAGAGGAAAGGAGAGAGAAAGAGATAGAAAAAGATAGAGAGAGAAAGAGAGTAAGAGAGAGAGAGAGAGAGAGAGAGAGAGGACCGTTCATGCTACTGTGCTGTGGCGTGCTGCGCGCTGCCGCAAAAAAATTCACGATCATGGCTTTCGACAGTGGCTAATATCGACGACGACGACGACGACGACATGCTGTAACACGCGCACACACATATTACACACGTTTGATTTGAAATATTTCTCCGAGTGAGCGCGACCATAGTGTGCCTGCCTGCATATTTTTACGTATATGTACATGTGTTACATAGATCGAGCCATCGCGAGGAGTCCAAAGTGCGTTTACGTTAGTTTTTCGGTGTGCAGATAAGTGCAGAAAATAGTGTGCTCGCGTCTGTGAGATATTTTTCGACCGAGGCACTGCTACAACTGCTACTGCTACGATCATGAGCAACGGCAACTGCAATTCGGCGTCCGATGCATTGGTAAGACCTACTGATTGCCTCACGAAAACTCCGAATTTATCGCATCTCTCGATGAAGCGAGTGAAAGACGATAGCGTCAAAGCCCCCCTTTCTTCCAAGTCTGACTATATATTTTTTTTCGTAACAAATGTGTAATAGACATGGTCGCGCACGCACTCGTTCACCTCGCTGGCTCGCTCGGCAGCTAGCCTCACTGCGTGCACTCGCTACTCTGCACACACCAGTCACCACCGCACACGCGCATGACTATTTTCACGGCTCGCGCGAGGAGAAAGACGGAGGAAATGAGGAGCAACTGCATACACACACACACAGAGCATATTGCACGGTGTGCGCGCGCAATTTTACTGCACGTGCAGAAGCTATGTATACCTATCTCTCTCTCTCTCCTCTCGATGCACCTCTGGCGCATCTATAGCTGCAGTCGAAGCGGCGCGACGCGAAACCCATGGCTTTTTGATTTTCGACTTTTATATACGTATAGAGTCGTGCAGCGATGTGACATTATGGGACGACGAGGACCGCCGTCTGTCGTCGATCGCGCTCTTAATAGCACCGAGCGCATAATTAAATCGTTCGCGTCTCGTTCCATATGCTGTCGACGCGCATCGATATACTTGTTGCGCGCGTTTGTATATATATACACGCGAGTCGCGAAACTCCTTTTTTTTTCTTTATCTGCGCGCCTGTGCCTATACATCACAAAAAGCTGTAACAACGCAGGCCGAGATATATTTTATCGGCGCGTCTCGACTTTCGTTGCATCGAATCGTTCTGCGTGTACATACACGCGCGTACCGATTCGATACACGATTTTTTTTTCTGTTATTTTTTGTGTATTTGTTTTATCGCCTCGCTTTGTGCGCGAGCGCGAGAAAGAGGAAACGTGGCCGATGTAATTATTCAATACTGCATACTGAAGGAATTATGTATATGTGGGGAATATTGTTTATCGTTCGGGCATGTATAGAGTTTGCATTAAGTGTGCCATGTCAATCATTTTAAACGATCGCGATATATGGCTCGGTAGAGAACATTGACTTTTGTCAATGTGCGTATAATATACTTAGGATATGTGAGCAATTTTTCCGTAAATAGGAGTACTTATTGATGAACTTGCTGAAATCATTCGGAACTGTTTTCTGACTCTCTGTTCGGCTGTGGAGTATAGAATATCTAGAGAAAAATCCACTAGGGTTCGGTAAAAGGGTATTTACAAGATAGTAAAGCTTGCAGAGTTTAGGATGAACGAATTACACTGAAAAATGATTAGCATTGTAAAATGGATATCAACTTAAGTTGAAAATTTGATTGTTAAGTTTAGATTGAGAGAAACTTTGATAAAAAGGCAGGTAACAATTACTATAACCATGGTAATATTTACTAATATTTGTGCCAAATGTTTCATATAAGAAGTATGATACAACACTTCAATCGAATATAATAATTTTTATTATACACATAGTACCTACATATTGCAATACCGTTTCTCTGGGTGTATAAATAATAATGCGTTTCATTTTTCTCTAAAAATTTATTGATTTTCTTAAAATTTGAACATTATTTTTACATTATGCGATTACAATTAACATTGGAGAAACAATGGAAATTTTTTAATTGACCCTTCAATGTTACACGTTCATTAAATTGTAATAGATGAGAAATGAACCACTTTGAAGTGTCTTTTGAAACTACTGTTACTTGAGTATTTATTACCGTATTTATCGCGTTTAAGTTAGGTACCATTATGCACCACATCTATGTGTTTTTTGAGATGTCCCTTCTGCCTGAATGTCTTTCCACAAATATCACACTTATGTTTAGAACCATTATGCATCCAACCGACGTGGAGTTTGAGATTACCTTTCGTTGAGGATTTTTTTCCACAAATATCACACATATGTATAGTACCATTATGCGCCACATCAATGTGTTTTTTGAGATAATGTATTGATGAAAATGTCTTTTTACAAATATCACATGTAGATGTGATACCATTATGTACCGAATCGATGTGTTTATTGAGATGTCCCTTCTGTGCGAATGTCTTTCCACAAATATCACATGTAAGTGTAACACCATTGTGCATCGCATCGATGTGGACTATGAGATTACTTTTCGTTGAGGATCTTTTTCCGCAAATATCACATGTATATGTGATACCATTATGTACCGAATCGATGTGTTTATTGAGATTACCTCTATTTGAGAAGTTCTTTCCGCAAATATCACATGCATGAGTAATGCCATTATGCATCGCATTGATGTGGGCTCTGAGATTAGATTTGGTTGTTATTTTCTTTCCGCAAATGTCACATGTATGTTTAATACCATTGTGTATCGAATCAACGTGAATTTGGAGACTTTTTTTAGTCGAGAATGACTTCTGGCATAGATCGCATGATCGAGTGATTTTACCATGAATTGAACCAATGTGGATTTTGAGACTAAGCTTGTTTCTGAACTTTTTATCGCATATACTGCATGTGTGCAAGACACCACTGTGCACCGTATCGATGTGTTGTTTTAGATTTTTTTTCTTCAAGTAAGTCTTTTTGCATATTTTACATGCGTATGTTGTATCATTACGCCCTTGGAGGTTATGATCGTTTTTCAACTTTTTTTGTATTTTTCTTATATTATTCTGTTTGACAAGTTTATTGTCGAAATTCAAGCTCGACTCTACTGCTGTATCATCAGTAACTTCTTGTTTTACTTCCTCCGTGGTTTCTGTTTTAATGTTGGGCTTGACATCTTCACATTCAACAACTATTTCCACTTCGTCATCGAGTGCACTTTCATGATTTTCGTCACATTTTTGAAGGTTACGATTCTGTTGAGAGATCAAAACAATGTGAGAATCATTATAAAAAAGCAACTATATACCGGTTTATACATCTAAAATCTTACTGCATTTTCTCGTAGAAATGGTGAGAGTTGTAAGTTTTTAATATCGGGTTTCTCGTCAATCATTTCATAATTATTTTCAGTTAGCAACGCATCACTAGGTTCCTCTTTCACCCTGAAATAACCTCAATACGATCAAGTATTGCGTCATAAAATTTTCATACTTTCATGCTCGCAAAGTGAAAATTACCTGACAGCGTGACAATTAAAAACATCACTGGACTCCATCTTTCTTATTTAGAATCTTTCCGTGGTGGTTTCAAAAACACTATATTAAAACGAAAAGACTGTGCCGTGCTGTGTTCGCTAAAACTATGAAAAACTGTGTGTTAATGCGAAGAGCACCAGTTCACTCCCTCGATTAATTCTGCGCAATGGCACGCACGACCGAACGCTGCGCGCCGGGCAGCAAATGCGGAGAGGTCGTGTGCACGCGACCACACGACGTAAACAACGGAAGAAAATTTCGGTAAGAAATTATCATTAAGAGTAGTTGAAGTGGTCTCCTTATTAGAATAATGCAATAAGGTAAACTTTTAAGGTAAATTTTTGTCAAACAAGTGTATCTACTTGAAAAATTGATAAAACTTTAATACAAATTTATCATTAGATGCACTGTACCTTTAATATCGAAATCACCGTGTTTAAATTTGTCCTTAACTTTCGTATTTATTTAAATAAGTAATATTGGAATCAACAAATCAATGGGCGATCTTAACCTGTACTGTTTTACTAAAAGCGCACTGCTGTTTTTGGGTGTCCCTATAGATGGAACGCGCTTTTGAGACACACTTGATTAATTTATTCCATAATAAAATTATTATTACGCAGTTGGCTTCGAAATCATTTTTTATTGATAATACTAATGCAAATTGATACTTTTCAATTTTGCTAGTTTAAAAGCTAGTGTTCCACAAATTGGTACACCGTTCCATAATCACTGCTTTTACCTTACTATCTTTTATTATAGCGTCTATAAATGTGTATTTGATTCGTATAGTTCTATATAGTCCAGATGCTTAGGGGGTTTCGTGGCCGATTGAGGTCCATTATAAAAACGAACAAAGGTTTCTTACCTATTATAGCCTGTGTTGATAATTGATAAAATTGTTATAAAAATCGAAAAAAAAATCACACGTATTTTATAACTGATACTATGAGTTTTTGTTCGTTGCATTTTTTCGCTCAAGTCAATCTGTATTGAGATAAAAAATCGCAAAAGTGTTTTTTTGCTTTCAAAGTTATCTAGAAATCGTTACATTTTCAAGCCCTGCGAAAACAAACATCTTAATCGAAATAATACAAAGAACATAAAAGTCTCAGAATTATTTATAAATTTGGTAAGAAATTTTTAAGATTTTTCAAAACGATTTTATAAATCATCAACACTAAAATCATCAATCAATTTTTTTGAACTCGTTGTCAAAAAAACGAGCTTCATATATTCAGGTTCAGTTGGCTAAGATACATAAAAAATGAATATTCGTTCGTGTGAAATCCCCTTAGCATCTGGACTAATAGGCAGTATGCTGGATTTATATTTCGAACATGATCATAGGTCGTATTAATCGTCACACTCGAATTTCAAATTAAACAGCAGCAGCAGCTTATACTGCGTTATCTGGTATTGCATTACGAGAAAGCGAGAGACTAGCTAAGTAGACTGAATGTACACTTTCTCATCTTATCTAAATCGAACGACTGCTACGCTACATACAGCTATACAATATGCTTTTTGTAGATTCGGCCATATGTTTAGCCAGCCATACGAAAGTCGTACATAATATACGTACAGTCAGTACACGTAAAGTCGCCGTGGCACGAACAACGAAAAAAAATCTTACCACCCGTATAGAGTGATTATTGTGTTAAAAAAGTTAGTAAATTATAAGCGATCGTGTGTTGTGTTCGTGATTGCGCAAAACGATCGACATGTCTTCGGGCGACGAAACCAACTGCCATGAACAATTGGAAAGTTTAAAGAGCTCACGCGAACAGACCAATTGGACCTATTGGATCAATTGGAGCAATTGGCTCCGCATTGGTCGATACGCTCTACTCGATCGATTTTATCCCTTGCTCAGCGACTGGACGGGCCCACTTCCGAATCTTCGAGACATCTTTCGCAGGGAAGAGATCGAGTGTCTTCTCGTAGTTTCCATAAAGCATTGCACGAACGAAGACTCGCGCGACAATCGAGGACAACGATTCATCGAGTTGGTGGTTCGCAGCGGCTACAGGGACGGCCAGCCCGACCTCGACGAGGACGGCAAGCCACTGCTGCGTCGCATCACACCGATACATCAGGCGGGTAAATTATTGCGCGGGAAACAGCATGCCGTGATTCGCGAGCTTTTCAAGATCTACGACAGCTTCGAGGCGAATTACGCCGACGAGGATGGATACACGCATCTTCACGCGGCCTGCGAGTACGGCTGCAACGACGTCGTCGAGGGATTCCTCGAGCACGGCCAGGTCGATCTCAATTGCATCGAACGCAGAGAAGGTAATTCGCCGCTAATGCTGGCGGCTTTCCATCACAGACGCGTGGTCGAGACGCTGCTGAGGGCAGGCGCCGATCCCAAATTAGCCAATAAGGACGGATTGACTCCTCTGCACGAAATTTCCTGGGGACCGCAGGACGACGACTCGTTGGAGAGGTTTTTCGAGATCTGCGACGACCTGGGGCAGACGGTGCAGGTCGACGCCCTGGACAAGTGGGGCACCGCGCCGTTGGTCTATGCCGTGAGGTCGAAGAAAACGAGACAGACGGAAGTGCTGCTGAGACGAGGCGCCGATCCCAATTTGATCGACGGTGACGGAGCGGTGCCGCTGCACAACGCTCTGCGCAAGGGCCTGAAGAAGGCGACCGCGATCCTGCTGAGGGCTGGCGCCGATGCCAATTTCGTCGATCCCTGGGGAGTGACGGCCCTTCACTACATCTGCAGAAGTGGAAGAAAGAACGGCGCCTACGAGCTCGCGAAGACGTTCTTCGAGATCTACTGCGACGAGATGCGGAAGTCGGTGCGGATCGACGTACTGGACGGCGAGTTCGAGGCACCGCTGCAGTTGGCGCTGGAGCGCGACAACGGGAAGCTGGCCGAGTTGCTGCTGAGGAGGGGCGCCGATCCGAACATGATCGACGATCATGGCAGGACGCATCTGCTGTGGGCAGTGAGAAATCTGAAGCCGCACGCGGTCGACCTCCTCTTGGATAACGGGGCCGACGTATCTAGCTTCGTTTTTCCCACCGAGAGCGGTTTCAACGAGGGCATTATAATCATGAAGAACGACCGCCTTTGTCCGAGGTTCAAATTGAAACTGGCGTCCAGTCTTATGTCCATCTACGACAGTCTCGAGAAAAAAGGATACGAATGGGGCCTACGGGACGTCCTGACAATCATGAGATTGTTCGACTATTACGAATTGTTCCAGAAGCCGGCGGACATTCGCGAGTTGTGGCGCGACTGTGGGCAGCGGGCGAGATGCACGAGAAAATTCAGGATGAAGCCGCGGGGCCTGTTGTCGCTCTACGACGTGATTCGGGCGCGACACGAACAGGTGACGAGATTCCGTGTACGAGGACTGCTCACCAACGGGGACTACTTCGATTTCGCCTGCTCGACATTTCGCGAGATCCCCAAGAGGCTACGAGAGGCTTGCGCTCTGGATCTGTGCGAGAAATTATCCAGAAGATTTTTCCTCGAATGGGCGCGGGATTCTTTGTACGAGCTGATGCGTTACCGATTGCCAATCCATTGCTGCGACATGATCGCGAGGAACGACATGACGAACAGAGATCTGTATAATATTTGCCAGGCGGCTTCGAAAACGAGCTACTCTTGGTGGCCATTTATTCAATTGTTACTTTCATGTTCAATAGTTTTTGTATTGTATATTATATTTTCATTCTCTCTTTTTTTCTCTGTCGCTGTATCTGTATGTCTCTTTGGACTGGTAGAGTTTTTTTTTTGGCTTTATGAAATAGAGTACTTTTTTTGTTATTTTTTATGTTGCTTGATGTTCATTACTATATTGTATACATATTATATTACTTTGTATAACTAGTCCTAAGAAAATTTATTTATTTTGCATTCAATTGCAATTTCATAACAACATGTGTATTTTTTCATTTTTTTTGTATGCATTCTGTAATTATTGTAAATTCTTGCTTTTTTTTTAAACGATTGTATTCAAATTGTATTATTTGTGGCTTACGGCAAGGCCTAGCCAAATAAATTCGTAAAAACTAAAATTTCTAATAAAAGACTGAGTACTTTTTTTTGTTGAAAAAATCTTCATGCACGGGCCATACAGCTATACATGTGAACGTGGTTAATTGCTTCGTTAAATAAAGAACATCACAGATAGAAGAATGGCAAGATAAAAGAAAATATGAAAACGAGGTTGGAATATTAGAAAAGTTAATAAAAAAAGATCAATGCTACGTGAAATTTAATTGAAAGAAAATTTTTGAAAATCATAAATTGCAATTAAAACTGCTCGTTTATAATAGAAAAATATAGATCGTGCTTATAACATTATAGATACACTTTTTGGGTCTATTACTCAAAAATTATATGAAATAGTTGATGCTTGCGCTTCCCAGAAATTTAAACATTATAAATGCTCCATCTTGACCTATTAGTGGACTTTAAGATAGTTTCATGATATTCAACCTAATTCTCGTGTGATTATTAGAATAGGAGAACAAAATACTCATTACTTGAGTCGAATTTTGCTTCGTATCCCCTGTACTGCTCACATTATATCTTAATTCATTAATATAGCCTTCCGCCCCGCAACACTTATATCCTAAATTACTTTTACTATTGAATTAATTAGATAGTGGCATCGTTAGATACGGCATACTTTTACTTTCTGTTCATCGGTATTGTCTGAATAGGTGGGATATATGGTGTTCGCAGTGAGTTAATTAGTCATTTTAACGGGCTCATTCGTACCACACATAATGATTTAAGGTTAAGATCATTTATTCAGATATTATGTATTAGATCGTCAATTGAGAAATCGATATTCTAGGTATTTGAATAGAGCGTTTCATTGTTCAACATTTTAGTTTACAAAAGTCAAAAGTAGCGTTATAATTACCCGAAATTGATTGAGAGTCGATCACGTGAGTTTATTTTCTTTCAAAATTAGAATAATAAATTGAATTTTCTTATTTCTAACAATAAACGTATAATTAAAATTGGTAATTTTATATATTTTCAGCTAAACGGATTGAAGGAGCATCCCGACATTCAAAAAATGGAGGTATCACGAGCCCAGCAGGCTCAAAGTAAGAGGACTCAATGGAAACAGTGGGCTGCTTGCATTTCCGGTAAATATTAGCACCAAAAAAATCGAATAACTCGTACTCTTTGAATTTCTGCAAAGCTTACAACGCGCGATAAAAGCTCGTAAAAAGGGACAAAGTGAAATCGTAACCAAATCCTATCCTCGTGAATTTCTTCTTTTACTTTTTATTCTCGATCGATTCTTTCGTTACACCCGTTTGAAAGCTTCGGCGTAAATTTTTAAACCACTATTTACCAGGAACGTCGGATTACATCCGAATCGAAATTCAAATTTAACGCGTCGCGCCGCTGCAGAAAAATTCTCCACCAATTCTCCACCGCGCGCACACGGTTTCGCGACGTTTTTCGAGTGACATATTAATTTTGACTCGCATTCGCGAGCACACGCACACCCGCGAAAGTAATTGTATATTAAGCGGTCGTTTGAATTTTTTAGCAAGTTTTTTTTTTATTTTTGTATATACGTACGTGTGTGCGTGTGAGCGGGTGACCTGCTCTCGCTCTCTCTCTCTCTTTCCCTCCTTTGAGCTGAATGACTCTGCCGCACGCTCCCTCGAGTACATAGATCTTTTTTTTCGCTCTCTTTCTCTCTCTCCCTCGTTTTAACGTGGGGGTGGCTTTGGCGCGAAAGTACGACGCGCTCACAGCTCGCTCGGCCTTGTTTTAACTCTCTTGCGCGCACAGAGCTAAAAGCTTTTTTAGAAAAAGTTTTCAAAAGAAACGATTCATATTTTTTTCCTCTCTCTCTCTCTCTCCTTTCTTTCTTTCTTTCTTTCTTTCTTTCTTTCCCTTTTATTTTATTTTTTTTTTATATACTTTATCGTCGTAAGACCGAAACGCGGCTGCGAGGGTAAACGACGCTCCTCATAATTTCGATTTGCTTTTTTTTGCCCCCCCCGTCCTTACGCAGCGACGCTATCGATGGTCGCCGCGGGCACTGTCTACGGCTGGACAACGACGATGGGCAGTCGCATCACCATCAACGGCACCGCGAACGCAACCACGGGCTGGGACAACGACGACTCCGTGCCGTTTCAAATCACCGAGGACGAGTCCTCCTGGGTCGTGTCGCTCACTGTGATAGGATCGATGATCGGTCCATTTTACGGCGCTTACATCGCCGCCACGTAAGTATACGCAAAAAAAAAAAAAATAAAAAAACTATCCAATCCATTTCGTTCTTCTTTTTTTCTCTGTCTTCTGAACACGACTTTGTTCTCCCGCAGATACGGGCGTAAGCTGTGCCTGCTGCTGACCTCGCTCTTCTACATACTCGGCTGGCTGCTGGTGATATTCGCCCAGAACGTGAATTACTTGTACGCGTCGCGGATGATCCTCGGCGTCGGGGTGGGCATGTCCTACACGGCCAACCCCATGTACGTGTCCGAGGTGGCGGACGTCAACATACGCGGCGCCCTCAGCACCCTCATAGCCGTCAACGTGTTCACGGGCTCGCTGATCGCCTGCTCGGTGGGGCCCTGGTCGAGTTACAGCGTCCTCGGCGTCTGCCTGCTCGCCATACCCGTGATATTCGTGCTGACGTTCGCCTGGTTCCCCGAGACGCCGTATTACCTGGTGTCCAAGGGCAAGCACACCGAGGCCAAGGAGGCCATCGGATTTTTGAAGGGCCTGAGCGACTCCGAGGAGCTGGATCAGGAGCTCGAGCTCGTGCGCAAGAACATCGGCGTGGTCGAGTCCAACGACGAGCTCAAGTTTCGCTTCGCCGACGTGCGCCTGCTGCTCACCAACGTCAACAATCGTCGCGCCCTGCTCATCGTCATGGGCCTGATTCTCGGCCAGCAGCTGAGCGGCAACTTCAGCACGATGCAGTACCTGGAGACGATGTTCAATGAGGCCAAGATCGGCGTGGCGCCCCACATCGCCACCATCATCATCGTCTCGGTGGGTCTGGTGTCGGGTGCAACCGCTACGATGACAGTCGAGGGTGCCGGCCGGCGTCTGCTGCTCATACTGTCGAGTTTCGGCTGCGGCCTGACCCTCCTGGCTCTGGCCGTCTACCTGCTGATGAACGACCAAGGCACCGACGTAACCACCTTCAATCTGCTGCCCGTGTTCGACGTCATATTCTTCCAGATATTCTATCAGGTCGGCCTCGGCACTATGACCAATCTGCTCATCGGCGAGCTGTTCCCCACTAACGTCAAGGGCATCGCCGGCGCCATCATCACCATCTTCGACGGCCTCCTGGGCTTCGTCGTCTCCAAGGTCTACATGGACTTCAAGCACAGCGGCGGCCTCTATGTCACCTACCTCATCTTCGCCGTGTCCTGCTTCGTGCTGTTCGTCTTCGTCTACGGTTTCGTGCCGGAGACCAAGTGCAAGACCTTCAACGAGATACAGGACATACTGGCCGAGCTCAAACCCTTCCGCATGACCAAGCGGCCCTTCTGGTCCAAGTGCGGCGCGACGGCGGCGACGGCGACTCGCGCAGGCATCGACAAGAAGAACGACAACAGCAACAAGAACAACGGAGCGGCAGCAGCCGCCAACGAAGTCTGACGTCGTCTCGCGCGTCGATGATGAGCGGTCGTCGTGATTTATCCATAAGTCATAAGTCGCTGATTAATTTTAACGTAGATAACGTAGTTGATGTTTTTCCCGGAAAATGTTGTACTTTTTAACTTTTTAAGTGCTCTTGCGTCGTTTTTCTTTATTGTTTTGTTGCTGTGTGTGCGCGCGCCTGTACATAAGTAAAATTCGAACTCGATTTTTTGTATTTAAACTTTCGTTTTTGTCCCGCGAGTTTTTTATATTAGATTTCTGTCCTCTCCTTTATGCGCGTAAAAATTGAGTGTCGAACTGAAAAGAATAAAGCGACGATGAGCTTGGAACGATGAGTGGGCGACGAAATATTACGATAAACATAAATACGTATGCGGTGCTATACGATATATAAAAATAAAAGAAACAATTGTCGTCCTCCTTTCGGCTGTTGTAACGCACAATTTTATCGATTCATTGTGATACAAACGATAATATAAACAAAACAAAAAAAAACGAACAGAATCGACGATTCTTCCCCGATTCGTAATATTTTTGTAAATCAAAACGTATACACGTATATTATTATATATTATACATTATATATATCTTTCGAATATTAAATATTATCATATGAAAATGTAACCGTTGACCTTTTAACGTTTGCCAAAGTTCGTGCTTCTCTCCTGTTCCGTGAGAAATGAAAAATAATAAATGATAAAAGAATAAAACGAAAAAAAAAACAGATCGTGTGATATAACAAATATACATTATATTTCTATAGGATTATTTTAACGATGATAAAATATCGCGAACACAGAATTATGTATGTGAAACCTTGTATACGAATTTCGAGCTTTCGTAAGCTCCGTTGTGTAGAGATCAATTAGTTGTGTACTTCAACATTAAAAATGTGTCTGATTATGTTACAAGAATAAAAACCTGTCAATTGTAAATCTTTAAAAGCGACGATAATTAAATTAATTATCTTTTAGCGCTGTCTGACAATTATTTGAGAGATAATAATTGTATCATATTTTCAGTCGAAATATATCCATTTTTACAAAAAAAATCAATTCCTTTATTAGTAAAAATATTCCAAACTGTCATTAGTAAAGTGAGTGAGTAATTGATTTTTCCAATTTTTTTATAATATTCGTAATATTGATGCATGCATATGGATCAGATTTAGAAATTTTTAAAAAAACTTGCGGACGAGGTACACGGATTTTCCTGATATTTCGGTTTGTTATAGTACATCATAAAAGAGTCATAAACCAAAATTTTAGACCCCCTCTGTCCCTCCTATCCCCACCATCGCTATAAACGTCTATTTTCTATTTATATTTATTCTGAAGGCCTGAAGTAATTAAAACATCTGAAAAAATTCATGAAGGTATATTATTTATAGGTATATAACGATCCAAACAACCTTGAATTTTTTCAGATTTTTTTAGTGCTTCAGGCCTTCAGAAAATTTTTTTGAAAATTTCAATTATTTTATTTTCGGTGAAATGGTTTGATATATCAGACCGTAGCATTTTTTTAATTGTGACATCAAAAAACGATTCCTTGAATTTTTTTATAATTTTTCATTCATGCCGCTGAAGCCTAGAGCTGAAAAACCGCTTTTTTCATTAAAATAATTTTTTTAGGGCTGTATGGAGCCTCAAAAAATCTGATAAATATTTTTTCTTTTTTTTTTTTTCATCAATAGTATATTGCTGCCCTAGGCCGCGAAAAACAGAAAAGTCCCAGAGTACGTGTAATTAGTGGCCTTCCCGCTCTTCCCGCTTTGCGCAGCGCCAGGGAAGTAGTCACTTTCGGGCCGCTGGTATGAAAAATACATAATCTCCATTTTTAACAAAAAAGGTTCCTGGAACCCGATGGTTCTGGTAAAAAAATTTCAAAATATTTTTGTTGAATTCCTTGTCAAATTTTAATAAATTTTGACCGTTTCAAGTTTTCGATTGAAGCTTCCGAGCTCATTCTAGAGCATAACAAAGATTAACCCTTTAACGCCTGAAATGACCATTTTTGGACAACATTTATAGCAATGAATTACACCGACTAGAAATTGTTTGAAAAAATTTTCAGACATCATTTCTCGCGTAAAATTTAATGTACTTTTCGAATCCGGGGTCAGAATCTAAAAAAAATTATTAAATAAAATGTTATAAACAATTTTGTAAAAAAAACATGAAATTTCGAGAAAAAAATCTCGATTTTTGGATTTTTGAAAAAATGGTGTTATCCAGAAATCCAAAAATAGCTCCAAAAATTCTGAAAAAATTCAGGCATTTTCTTAGATCAATTCTAAACCCTTTTTATTCCCCAACTTTTTCTTGTAAAGTTGATGGTTATCAAGTTAAAAATTGTCGAAATCATTTTATGACATACAGGTCTTCGAGAGTCAAATTTATGATCGCCATTTTGAATTTCGTAATTATAACTGTTTTACAATAAAGTATACAAGCCATTGACCAAATTTATATGCGTGAGACGCACGAGCGAACCTTTTTTCTGTATTTTGATATTTCGATATCGTAACTATTAGACTTTTAAGTCTACACCCCATGGACGCAAAAAAAACGTGTTAGACCTATAGAGCAAGTCTGTTTCGACTCGAAAATTCGGATAAAATCAAATTTTTTTTCAAAAAAATCGTGTTTTTTATTGTTTAGTTGTTCATAACTTTTACACATCAACTTTTTTGACAATTCTGACGCTGGATTCGAAAAGTTCATAAAATTTTACGTCGGTTATGACTATTCTGACATTTCTTACATAATTTTTTCACATAGTTTACAGCGAATCAAAAAATAACTAAAATTTCGTCCGTTTGGCCCGAAACGGGTTAAAATCATTTGAACAACAGTATTAAATTTTAATGAACTTTATTGAACATAAAATTAAAGATGACATGAGAATTTCTCATTTACATCATAGTACACGTAAAAAAATTTGAAGAAAAAGCGTACACTAAGTACAGATACAAAAAGTTAAATGAAATTTTACTTGAAGTTTAATATGAATCTAAATAAAAAGTGTACAATGAGTACACTTACCAAAAATTGAATAAAAAGCTAAACTACGAGGGTATATTAGGTACATTAAATACCCTAAGTTGAACGTAATGTAAGGAATAAATTTATGCATCAACATATTTTTTAAATGTTGTTTGTCTTAAGGCCGATCCAAAGAAAATTCTTTTAAATTATTAGTCAACGTGAAAACTGCAGGACTGTTATTCCTCGTTGCGTGTTTTTTGTTGAGTTTTTTGTTCGTTGTTTTTGGGTTGATGTCAAGCAAGTATCTACAAATGAATCAAATAATTTTAATTAATAAAAATAGACACTAGTAAATATAAATATTATAAATAATAATCAAAAATTTAATTTTACCTTTGCATAAATTCTAAAGTTTTTTCAAACCTATTAGTGTAACAAAATCCAAATAAGATTATTAAAAACTCAGTACTGGTTAATTTTAATATTTACTCAACTGCTAATGTTTTGTTAATTCTTCTTTAGCTACTCCTAAGCAAGAAAAGAGCCTCAGCCTCAGCCCACATGATTTGCAAGAACAAATCAACAACCTGCAATCACAACTTCTGAAAATGCAACAAAATTCGCTAGGGATGGAGTTGGAGCTGGAAAATGATGATTTGTCAATGCTACAGCCGCTAATAACTTCACAACAGATCTATTTCGATAATGCAGATGTAATGCAGGAAACGGATGTTTTGGAATCCAATGAATTTCTGCCTCAACAGGTTGCACAATATCAACAAACAAATAATCTCATTAATCAGCAGCAGCGTCAAAAGCAACAACTTTAAGTCCAACAGCAGCAAAAGCAACAGCAACGTCAGCAACTTCAATTTCAGCAGCAGCAAAAGCAACAGCAACGTCAGCAACTTCAATTCTAAAAGCAGCAACAACTCCAGCTTGAGAAGCAGCAACAGCAGCAATTTCAAAGACAACAGCTTCAACAGCAGCAGCAACTCCAACTTGAGCGCCAGCAACAGCAGAAAATGTTTTTGCAATTTAAGCAACAACAATATCAAAAGCAAAAAAAAATGCAGCAGCTGGGGTTGATAAATATATTTCAACCACAACAAGAGGAAGTCCGATCGACTTGCAAAAAACTGCAGTCAATATTGACCTTGCAACACTCGAGCAACGAGCAGCTGTCACAATCTCTACTCGATGAGCAGCCAACATCAGATATATCATTTCAACCACGATTATTGGCTAATAAGCACCAACAGCAGCAGCAGCAGCTCGTCTTATTAAACAAGTCAAGAGAGACAGAAAGAACACGTCAGAAGCCTATTGATCATCACCTGGGAGACAAAACAACGAAACGTCGGTAACGAAAATAGCGCCGGAGTCATGTACGAGAGTGTGTGTGCCTAGTCGTGATCGCGCCAAATAATTACGCCAGTTCTTTTGATAAATAAAAGTGATTTCTCATAAATAATAAATAAGTGTTTGTGATTCTTTTTATTTCGCCTTTCTTTCCCGTTCCCTCGAACGTCGCGTATTTAGCCCTATTCGAGCCAGCGTCCTCACAGTGCGGCGGTGGCTGGGCATCGAAAAACCACCGTGTCGCAAGACTTCATTTCGAAATTTCCTCATAATTACTTCATTTTTAATTACTCATATTATAAATTAATGGCTTTGCAGCTGATATTGGCATGTAGCGTTTGTTGCAGACTTATTTGCAAATTTCGTCTGCAAGCGTGACTATGTGTTGCGTGTACCCGAGTGCATGTTACGCTACGATCAGTTGGTGTTGATATTTAGCGCTCGTTGCGGACTTATTTGCAAAGTTCATCTCTGCAAGCATCGGTGGCGTCTGGTAGTTGGTGGATGGTATTACGGACTGCGAGTGCAACGATCACGTAGTGTACCTGTACTCCGAACGTACGCAGCTTGTTCGACCCTGCTGGACGGTGTCACGGACTGCGAGTGCAACGATCGTGTAACGTGTATATAACCCCTGCTCCGAGCGTAAAGCTTGTTCGACTATGGTGGACGGTGTCACGCATTGGCAGTGCAACGAGTGTAGTGCATGTAACCTCTGTCCCGAACGTACGCAGCTTGTTCGACTCTGGTGGACGGTGTCACGCATTGATCATCAGTGCATCGAGTGTAGTGCATGTAACCTCGGTGCTCGGAACGTACAAGCACATACGCATCATGCCTAAGGATAAAACATTTAAAAATAGTGAATACTACAGTCGTGTTCTGGCTCTAAAACGTATTGAAAAAAAGTACTGTAAATATACAAAATTTAGACGCGGCGAGTACAGAAATCTTTTTCCGAGCATCAAACGAGATCCACAAAAATTTCTTCAATATATGAGAATGTCGGTCGAAGAGTTTCACTACATCGTACACGTCTTGTATAAAGCGCTGCAAAAGGACTGGTGCAATTTGCACAACAAGCCTATTCTTCCAGAAGAAGAGATTGTCATTACCATAAGATTTCTCGCCACAGGACAGGGT